CTGACAGAAACCAATGAGAACAAAGACACAATGTACCAGAATCTCTGGGAACACAGCTAAAGCAGTGTTTAGAGGGAAATTTATAGCACTAAATGCCCACAGGAGAAAGCAGGAAAGATCTAAAATTGACACCCTAACATCACAATTAAAAGAACTAGAGAAGCAAGAGCAAACAAATTCAAAAGCTAGCATAACACAATAAATAAGATCAGAGCAGAACTGAAGGAGATACAGACATGAAAAACCCTTCAAAAATATCAATTAATCCAGGACCTGGTTCTTTGAAAAGACTAACAAAATAGGTAGACTGCTAGCCAGACTAAGAAAGAAGAAAAGAGAGCAGAATCAAATAGACAATAAAAAATGATAAAGGGGATATCACCACTGATCCCACAGAAATACAAACTACCATCAGAGAATACTATAAACCTCTGTATGTAAATAAACTAGATAATCTAGAAGAAATGGATGAATTCCTGGACACATATACCCTCCCAAGACTAAACCAGGAAGAAGTCAAATTCCTGAATAGACCAATAACAAGTTCTGGAATTGAGGCAGTAATTAATAGCCTACCCACCCAAAAAAGCCCAGGACCAGACAGATTCACAGCCAAATTCTACCAGCCATACAAAGAGGAGCTGGTACCATTCCTTCTGAAACTATTCCAAACAATAGCAAAAAAGGGACTCCTCCCTAACTCATTTTATAAGGTCAGCATCATCCTGATACCAAAACCTGGCAGAGACACAACAAAAAAAAAGGAAATTTCAAGCCAGTATCCCAGAAGAGCATCGATGTGAAAATACTCAGTAAAAAACTGGCAAACCAAATCCAGCAGCACATCAAAAAGCTTATCCACCATGATCAAGTTGACTTCATCCCTGGGATTCAAGGCTGGTTCAACACACACAAATCAATAAATGTAATTCATCACATAAACAGAACCAATGACAAAAACCACATGATTATCTCAATAGATGCAGAGAAGGCCTTCAACAAAATTCAACACCCCTTCATGCTAAAAACTCTCAATAAACTAGGTATTGATGGAACATATCTCAAAATAATAAGAGCTATTTATGACAAACCCACAGCCAATATCATACTGAATGGGCAAAAACTGGAAGCATTCCCTTTGAAAACCAGCACAAGACAAAGATGCCTTCTCTTACCACTCCTATTCAACATAGTATTGGAAGTTCTGGCCAGGGCAATCAGGCAAGAGAAAGAAATAAAGTGTATTCAAATAGGAAGAGAGGATGTCAAATTGTCTTTGTTTGTAGATAACATGATTGTATATTTAGAAAACCCTATCGTCTCAGCCCAAAAATCTCCTTAAGCTGATAAGCAACATCAGCAAAGTCTCAGGATACAAATTCAATGTGCAAAAATCACAAGCATTCCAAGCATTCCTATACACCAGTAATAGGCAAACAGAGAGCCAAATCATGAGTGAACTCCCATTCACAATTGCTATGAGGAAAATAAAATATCTAGGAATACAACTTACAAGGGATGTGAAGGACCCTTCAAGGAAAACTACAAACCACTGCTCAAGGAAATAAGAGAGGACACAAATGGAAAACATTCCATGCTCTAGGATAGGAAGAATCAATACTGTGAAAACGGCCATACTGCCCAAAGTAATTTATAGATTTAATGCTATCCCCTTCAAGCTACCATGCACTTTCTTCACAGAATTAGAAAAAAAAAAAATTTAAATTTCATATGGAACCAAAAAAGAGCCCAAATAGCCAAGACAATCCTAAGCAAAAAAAAGAAAAAAAAAAGCTGGAAGCATCACACTATGTGACTTCAAACTATACTACAAGGCTGCAGTAACCAAAACAGCATGGTACTGGTACCAAAACAGATATATAGACCAATAGAACAGAACAGAGGCCTCAGAAATAATGCCACACATTTACAACCATCTGGTCTTTGACAAACTTCACAAAAACAAGCAAGGGGAAAGGATCTCCAATTTAATAAATGGTGTTGGGAAAACTGGCTAGCCATATGCAGAAAACTGAAACAGATCCCTTCCTTACACCTTATACAAAAATTATCTCAAGATGGATTAAAGACTTAAACATAAGACCTAAAACCATAAAAAACCCTAGGAGAAAACCTAGATAATACCATTCAGGACATAGGCATGGGCAAAGACTTCATGACTAAAACACCAAAAGCAATGGCAACAAAAGCCAAAAGTGACAAATAGGATCTAATTAGCAGAAAAAGAAACTATCATCAGAGTGAACAGGCAAGCTACAGAAAGGGATAAAATTTCTGCAATCTATCCATCTGACAAAGGGCTAATATCCAGAATCTACAAGGAACTTAAATTTACAAGAAAAAAAAAAAAACCATCAAAAAGTGGGCAAAGGATATGAACAGACACTTCTCAAAAGACCTTTATGCGGCCAACAAACATGAAAAAAAGCTCATCACTGGTCATTAGAGAAATGTAAATCAAAACCACAATGAGCTACCATCTCACGTCAGTTAGTATGTTGATCATTAAAAAGTCAGGAAACAACAGATGCTGAAGAGGATGTGGAAAAATAGAAACACTTTTATACTGTTGGTGGGAAGGTAAATTAGTCAACCATTATGGAAGACGATGTGGTGATTCCTCAAGGATCTAGAACCAGAAATACCATTTGACCCAGCAATCCCATTACTGGGTATATATCCAAAGGATTATAAACCATTCTACTATAAAGACACATACACACATATCTTTATTGCAGCACTATTCAGAATAGCAAAGACTTGGAACCAACCCAAAAGCCCATCAATGATAAGACTAGATAAAGAAAATGTGGCATATATAAACCATGGAATACTATGCAACCATAAAAAAGGATGAAGCTGGAAACCATCATTCTCAGCAAACTAACACAAGAACAGAAAACCAAACACCACATGTTCTCACTCATAAGTGGGAGCTGAACAATGAGAACACATAGACAGAGGGAGGGGAACATCACACAATGGGGCCTGTTGCGGGGGGGGGAGGGGCTGGGGAGAGATAGCATTAAGAGAAATACATAATGTAGATGATGGGTTGATGGGTGTAGCAAAGCACCATGGCATGTGTATAGCAAAGCACCATGGCATGTGTATAGCAAACCATCATGGCATGTGTATACCTGTGTCACAAACCTGCACATTCTGCACATGTATGCCAGAACTTAGAGTAAAAGAAAAGGAAAGAAAGAAAGGAGAAGAAAAAAGAAGAGAAAAGACAAGGGGAAGGGAGGGGAGGGGAAGAAAGGGGAGAGAGGGGAGGAAAGGGGAGAAAGGGGAGAAAGGGGAGGAGAGGGGAAGAAAGGGGAGGAAAGGGAAGGAAGACCAACCCATTTTTTGAGGAGAAATTCAAGCAGGCTGCAGAAATTTACATAAGTAACAAGGAGCCGAATGTTAATCCCCAAGACAATGGGGAAAATGTCTCCAGGACATGTCATAGGTCTTCATGGCAGCCCCTCCCATCACAAACCCAGAGGCCTAGCAGAAAAAAATGGTTTTGTGGGCCAGGCCCAGGGTCCTCAAGCTGTGTGTAGCACAGGGATTTAGTGCCCTGTGTCCCAGCCACTCTAACCATTGTTAAAAGGGGGCAAGGTACAGCTCAGCCCATGGTTTCAGAGGGTGCAAGCCCCAAACCTTAGCAGCTTCCACATGGTGTTGAGCCCATGGATGCAAAGAAGTCAATAATTGAGGTTTGGGAGCCTCCACCTAGATTTCAGAAGACATACTGAAACACATGGATACCCAGGCAAAAGTTTGCTGCAGGGGTGGGGCCCTCACGGAGAACCTGTGCTAGAGCATTGCAGAAGGGAAATGTGGGGTTGGAGCCTCTACACAGAGTCCCTACTGGAGTACCACCTAGTGGAGTTGTGAGAAGAGGGCCACCGTCCACCAGACCCCAGAATGGTAGATCTATCAACAGTTTTCACTGTGCACCTCAAAAAGCTACAGACACTCATTACCAGCCTGTGAAAGCGGCCAGGAGCGGAGTTATGCCCTGCAAAGCCACAGGGGCAGAACTGTCCAAGACTATGAGAACATACCTCTTGCATCAGCATGACTTGGATGTGAGAGACAGAGTCAAAGGAGATCATTTTGGAGCTTTCAAATTTGACTGCCCCACTGGATTTCAGACTTACATGGGCCCTATAACCCCTTTGTTTTGGCCAATTTCTCCCATTTGGGGTGGCTGTATTTACCCAATGCCTATATTCCCACTGTATCTAGGAAGTAACTAGCTTTTGATTTTACAGGCTCACAGGCAGAAGGGACTAGCCTTGTCTCAGATGAGCTTTGGACTGTGGACTTTTGGGTTAATGCTGAAATGAATTAAAACTTTGGGGGACTGTTGGGAAGGCATGATTTGTTTTGAAATGTGAGGACGTGAGATTTGGAGGGGCCAGGGGTGGGATGATATGGTTTGGCTCTGTGTCTCTACCCAAATTTCATCTTGTACTCCCATAATTCCCACATGTTGTGGGAGGGACCTGGTGGGAGATAATCTGAACTATGGAGGCTATTTCCCCCATACTGTTCTCATGATAGTGAATAAGTCTCACGAGATCCTGATAGGTTTATCATGGGTTTCTGCTTTTGCTTCTTTCTCATGCCACCACCATGTAAGAAGTGCCTTTCGCCTCCTGCCATGATTCTGAGGCCTCCCCAGACATGAGAAACTGTAAGTCCAATTAAACCTCTTTTTCTTCCCAGTCTCAGGCATGTCTTTATCAGCAGCATGAAAACAGACTAATATAGTTATCGTGAGGTTCAAATGATTTACTACTAGAAAAGGTGTTTGCACACTATGCATTACTACCATGTAAATATAAGTGACCCAGGACCAAGGTGGCCACTCTCACGGAGTCCTGAGAATGAGAAACTGAAGGGGAGCCCAAAGGAATGTTTTGCTGACTCCCCCATCCCCTCCCGCACAGGGCTGGTAGGCTCTTCCCGAGGCTCCTGACCTTCTCCAGGTTCTTGTGCATATCTTCCAGGGCCTTGATGTCTGGTGGGTCCTTGGCCACCTCCTGTGCACTGGCCAGCTCACGGCGCCAATGCTGCTGGGCAGCTTTCAGAGCTGTCTGCCGCCTCCGCATGGAGCGTGTCTGCTGTACCAGGAATTCCTTGGCACTACGGAGGGCTACCCCCTCCGCAGAGAGGTAGTGCCAGACATTGTGGGAGGACAGGCTGGGGCAGGAGAGTTAAAGAAGGAAAATAGAAGCCTCTAAGAACTCGGCTCTGGGTTACATAGCCACTTCCCCACCAGATGCCCACCCTGAGCACAAACCGGAGCTGCTGGGCTGGGGCTGGGCAGTGTGTGTGCAGGGATGCCACTGTTCAATACCCACAGTGTGCAGTGCCTGGGACTGACAGTGCCCCCACCCTGACTCCGAGAGGGGCTGTGCCTAGGGCCTCCAGATTGATGACCAGACGCTTCCAGCAATCTGCTTCTCCACTACAGGAGAATGCCATGTCAAAGGTCACAGTAGGCAGTTTCTTGGCTTGCCAGAGAAGATTCCTTAATCCTCCATAGCCTTCCCCATGAACCAAGCCCCACTGGTGATCACTGTCTCCTCACTTCAGCTCACCCCAGCTCTAGGATGCAGGTACTCACTTACCCCTTCATGGTACCCTAACCTGAAATAAGACAGGCTATGGGAACTCACCTGTCCAAGTATAAGTCCTCCTTGCTCTGGGAGAGAGAAGAAGATACCTCTTTGGCCTGGTTCTAGGGACACATGGTAAAAAAGTCCACTGAGTATAGCAAAAGCAGACACTCTGCAGGCTTGAGACCCCGAAGCCCCTCCCAGTGGCCTAGATAAGAAAATGGCTCTCCAGCTGCCAGGCACTGTTTACTTATAGATATCATCTGACTGGTGGACATGACTGGAAGCTGGGGATGATGAGAACAGAGCCAGCCCCTCCTGATGCCTTGGCCCACCTTATACTCCTCCCCTCCTGGGGCTCCACTCCTCTTGATGACCCCTCCCCTCTGGAAGTATTCCCCTGAGGCCTCGCCCCTCCCAATACCCCACCCCCTCCTGGTGCCCCAGCCCCCAGCCCCCAGCTCACTGTCCCAAGGGACTTCCTCAGGTCCTCAATGTGGAGATCTGGTTCAAACTGTGGGGCAGCACTACTTTCCTCAACTGTCACCTCTCTTAGCAGGTGCTGCTTCTTCTGAGTTTCAGCCTCCAGGCTGCTGTGGAGGGAAAAGGGAGTGAGAGGCAGCGGGGCCGTGGGGGGTGGTGGTGAAGACGGGGTCTGATGAAGTGAGCCAGAACCATCTCCATCCCCTCACTCCCATCTGTCAAAGTCCCTAAGGAAGGGCTGAGGCACAAACAATAGCACCAGGGATCCCCTGCTTTTCACAGCATCTTAACAACCCCAACTCTCTAACAAAAAGTAGCCACGGGCTCTTCTGCCTAGCTCCCAAGCTGGGACTCTACCTCTCCCTATTAACTGGGCCATGACACAAGCAGCAGAGGTCAGAGGGCGGGCAGGAGGCAGCCAGCAGGGCTAAGCAAGGGTGCCCACGCCACCTGATGTGCTTCCGCAGTTGCTGGCTCTGAGCCTGCAGCAGATCTACTTGGGACTCCAGCTCCAACTTGCGGGCCTGCAGCTCATCAATAATTTTCCGGAGCTGCTGGTTTGACTGCAACAGGTGGGTGTGCTCCTTCTGTGCCTCCTCCAGGTGCTGATGGGTGGCTGTGGCTTCCTAGGGGCAGAAGGAAAAATAGAGGCACCCAGAGACAGCACAGGGAACAGGCAGCACTAGAGGGTAGGGAAGACAGAAGGGGATGGGCTGGGGATGAACTCAGAGTCACTGAAGTCACTACCTCTGAGGTCAGGAGTTCTGCAGGCTCCTGTCCCACCACAGTCCCACTCCCCTGAGGTTCCCAAGTGGGATTCACAGAGTGGCACTATTTGTGGAATACTGGCCAACAGAGTTTGGAATACCAGTGCCCAACAGAGTTTGGACAGATCAGATGAACAAAATGTGAGGAACAGGGAGAATAGACAGGGAATGGAGGAAAAACAGGAGGGAAGACAAAAGAGGAAGACAAACCTCACTCTTGAGAGCAACCTGCCTCTGTACATCAAGCAGCTGCTGCTTCTCCCTCCGGGCAGTCTCCTCCTTGCAGGAAAGAGACAGAATTTTCTGTCTGACTGCAGATCCCAGGTCTGAGGGGCAGGGCCTGTCCTCTGCTAGAGGAGCTATGACTCAGGTCAAGGACCCCTGCAGAGCCCTCACCTGGACTTCCAGCTGAGCCAATCTGGCCTTGACATCTTTAGCTCTGGTTTCAAGTTCCATCTCTAAATCTTGGAGCTTCCTTTCCTGCCCAGAAAGAGAAAGACATAAGCATAGAAAGAGTGTAAGGCATTAGCTGAGGGGCAGGAGGGGGTTCCAGAACCCACCATGCCACACTGCAACCTCGACTCTGGGCTCAGCCTTCCTCCCTGTGTGCCCCTGCAGCCTCTCAGGAAGGCACCACACCTTGTTTATTTCCTGCTGGGGCAAGGAGACACGAAGGTGTCAACCACAATGCCTTACAGGGGCTCACCTCTAGTTCTATGTTCCCTGGCACAGAAAACAAAGGAGCAAGGATGCCCCAGCTTGAGGATGGCCAGTGTGAGACTCCCACTCCAGAAGCTGTCAGGCTCCATCCTACTGGGGCCACGGCGCTTGCTCCCAGCACCCTCCTGCTGTGCATAGAGGGGTCACAGTGGGCTCGCCCTGCCCCAAGCCCCTCACCTGCTCCCTGTGCCGGCGCCGCAAGTCCTCAAGACGCTTGTGTTGCTCCTGCCTCACGGTCTCCAGTTCTCGCTCATGGGCCCTCTGTAAGCGCTCCAGCTCTCCTGTCAGGTGCCCCAGGAGCTCAGCCCGCTGCTTTCTCTCCTGCAAGGAGTGGGGGCCCACCAGTGGGAAACTGTAGCAGCCCCTTCCACCACAAAAATCACAGCTCCCCCAGCCCTGCAGCCTTGAATCAGTAAGATCAGGGACACCGTCAGCTCCCGAAAGCCAGCTCTTGGAGAAGGGAAGGGCTACAAGCACATCACCAGCCCTGGCCCCAGCGAGCCTGCAGCCCTCTACAGCTGAAGCAGAGGCTGGCCAGACACCATGACGGAATCCCTCTCTGGCTCTCCTATGGCTCCACAATATACAACTTTTCCTCCTTAAGGAATGAGAGGTCACTGATAAACTATCAATATTCTTCAGCAAGGTCATAATTGGTTGGGAAAGGGATGTGGTAAATTTCATCACAAGACAGCTATTTCTGCCCTGGGAAAGATACTAGAAAGAGTCTGGGATATTGGTTCCAGTTACTGGAGCAGTAGCGTTAATGCCCTTCAGGGGCCCAGCTGTGGGCTACAGACAGCCACCCTCTACCCACCCACTGTTCACCCTCAATATGAGCAAGCCAGGCCAGCTTGGGTCCACTCAAGTCGCCGTACTGTCCTACCTTAAGGCCAAAGGCTTAAAATGGGGAGAATTTCAGTATGATTTGGCTCTTGCCAGTCTATTTCTTGGTGTCCTGAGATGCTGAGGAACCCTGGTAATGTGGTGTTGCAGGGAGGAAACTGAAGGCTTTGGAGTCGAATGGCCTGGTCTTGAATCCTAGCTCTTCTACTTATTAGCTGGTTGTGATCTTGGGAAGCTACTTAAACTCTCCAAGTCTCAGCGTCCTCATCTTTAAAAGGGAGATAATGATAGATCCTGCCTAAGGATGGTGTGAGGACTAAATGAGTTGAAATAGATAAAGAGCTCAGAACAGTTCCTGGCACACAGTACAAGCTCAGTGTATGGGGGTTCTTTTTAGCATCAGTAGAAAGAGTAGCCTGCCTGATAAAAGAGGAATTGCCCCTCATTAGGTGGAGGTTTTTCTCATGTTTTAATAAAAAAGGCAGAAAACCTCATTGTGACAGGGTACCAGGGAAGAAAAGCTCCCACAATCCCTGACCATAGTTCATCCCTCTCCACTCCCCCACAGCCAGGTGGGAAGGACACCAAGGTGTGTGTGTGTGTGCATGCATGTGTATGTGTGCATACATGTGTGCAGGCGCACAGGGGATGTGGCCAAGCTACCTCAGCTTCATACTGCTCTCTGGCCTTAGCCATCACTTGGCGGTGCTCCTCCTTCATCTTGTCCAGCCTCCTCTCGTGCTCCCCTTCCACTTCCTGGCGCTTCTCTCGCAGAAGACTGCTGAGCTGCAGGGTAGATGGCAGGGATGTAGCATGCAGAACCGAGGTGAACCAGCACTTGGGGCTGGTGCTGAGGGTCGTACACACATTTCCCCAATCTCTCCCAACATACACAACACATGGACATCACACAGCCATGACACCACGGTCAGCACACAGCCATACCCTCAACACCCCCCCTCCCCACATTATATAGGGGCATCAGACTGGAAGAGTACCTGGCTTCAAGGGAACCACGGCATAAAAATGGAACCAGAAGTGCTAACCCCAGCTGAGCCATCCAAAGCAAACTGGGGGCCACTGAGGCTAGGGCGGCTCAGTAGACCGTAAGAGAGTCCACAACACAACAGGTGCACACAAATGTGGAAGACAAAGAGCAGCACTCACCTCTTGCTCATACTCAATCATGTGATAAGCCTTCTGGTGAACTCTGTGCTCCGCCTGCCCAAGACACTTCTGCAGCTGGGTCTCCTCTTTCTGTTGAGCTTCCTCTATCTTCTTCTGGAGGCTAGAGACCACCTGAGGAGGCCCCCGCACACACAGGGGAGTGTGACCCTCAGAGAGACTATACAGCTGCTGTGCTGGGATGCATTCTGAGGATCTGGCATCCATCCCCAGGGGCTGGAGGGAGAGAGAGGCTCACTGCCTAGTGGCCAGGGATGGGGCTGAGTTCTGCTAACCAGCCATGAAGGGGGCCCAGGATGCTGCATCTCACCTCCCGGTGCTTGGCCTCCAACAAGGAGCAGAGCCGCTCCAGCTCAGCACTGTGCTCCTTCTCCAACCTTTCCACCGCCTGGGGAGGAGCAAAGGGACTGAGGGAAGCCGGCCAGGCACTGACCACGGCAAGCAGAACCAGGAAGACTACTGACCCCTAACCCCTCGAGATCAGGGCCAAGGGGAAGCACAAGGAAGCATAGCACATCTTTGCTCCCCTGAAACAACTCAGCCCCTGAAGTCTACAACTGGCAAATGAACGGAACATGAAGGCCAGAGGAGAGGGGCATTTTAGTAAGTCTCTGCTCTCTGCTCCCACCCTCTGCCTTTGGACTAGACCACAGGTCCACAGATGGCAATCATGCTGCTAAATAAGATCAAAGCCAGGGGGCCAAGTTAGATGCTATCATTAAGTCAGGCCATGTAGAACTTTCTTTTTATTTTGGTGAGGTGCAAAGCTTCAGCTATGAGACATGGGGAAAATCTACAGCAAGGGTGGGGAACTCCACTGTACTGCAAGTGCTCAGAGACTGTGCTTAAACCTTCAGAGGCTCCATGTGGCTGGAGTAGAGAGAGTACAGACAAAGAGAAAATCCCTGCTCTGTTGCCAGCCTCTGATCCTAAGAAAGGAGAGGGAACTGGGGAGTGAGGCCCTTGCAGCTGCCCCTCAGAGACAGGGAGGGAGAGCGTGCTTTTGTCTCAAAACCTCTGGTCTGACTGAAGTGGTTAACTTCCTCAAATCCACACGACACTCCCCCTCAAGTCTCTGATGGCTCCCTGCTTGACAACCTCCAGCCACCACTGCCATCCAGCCTGACCCTGGAGGGGCCTCAGGACACCTGCTGCATCCTTTGCCCTGCCACGGTGAGCAGGGCAAGCTCCTCCCCTGAGCTGATTCAGTCTATAAGGAGTAATGGGCTCAGGAGGTCAGCTTGTCATTTCCCATGCCTGTCCATGAGAGACCTACTCTCTGCCTGGCTCCCCAACCTGCACGCCCACCCAAGGCTTGCCCTTCCTCTCCCTGTGCACTCGGTCCCTCCTCAGGCAGCCCAGACACATGTCAGAGGGTGAGGTCCCCACTTCACTGGCTCACTTCTTTCCTCTCTCCTTCCAGCTGCTCCCTCAGCTGCTGCAGAGCCTTCTCCTTTACAGTGTTCAGAGCAGCCTGCTCGCTCTTCTCCAAAGCCTCCATCTCTTCCTTGAGCCGCTCCAGCATTTGCCTGTTTTTCTCTTCCAAGCTGGCCCTCTCAGCCTGCTGTTGAGACTCCAACTCTTCTCTCAGCTTCTGCAGGGAAGCCTCTTGCTCAGCCCTGGGTGGAAAGAGTGGAATGGGGATGGGCCTGGGCATCCTAGGTCCCCTCCGTGGGGCTGGGCAGCTCACAGGTAAGCACACACTTACCTGATGTGGTCCTCATCTGCTTGTGCACTGGACTGGACCTGGGCTCGGAGCCGGGATAACCTCTGGCTTTCTTCCTCTCTCATCCGGGCCTCCTCCTCCTCAGTGGCTTTCTGCAGCTGCTCCTTCAAGGAACTGAGATGGAAAGGAAAGGCTAGGTTGTCAGAGAAACCACAAAGGTCTTTCTTCTATTCATAATCTCTGGCTCTCAACCTCCAATAGCCCTGCTGCCTGCCTAAGAAACTTCCTAAATCTTTTTTTTTCCTTTTTGGAGACAGGTTCTTGCTCTGTTGTCCAGGCTGGAATGCAGTGATGGGATCATGGCTTACTGCAGCCTTAAACTCCTGGGCTTAAGCAAGCCTCTCGCCTCAGCCTCGCATATAGTTAGGACCATAGGCATGCACCACCAAACCCAGCTAATTGTTGAGATGGAGTCTCGCTGTGTTGCCCAGGCTGGTCTCGAACTCCTGGGCTCAGGTGATCCTTTGGTTTCAGCCTCCCGAAACACTGAGATTAGAGTCATGAGCCACTGCGCCCAGTCAAAGCTTCCTAAATCTTAAAGATGAGTCTAACCTCAGCCTCTGGGTCCATGGCTGTCTCTCATAATACCCCCCAGGATCACAAGGAGACTATGAACTCCCCTTTGCTTCAAGAAGCAATCTACTGGCTGGGTGCAGTGGCTCACGCCTGTAATCCCAGAATTTTAGGAGGCTGAGGCAGGTGGATCACCTGAGGTCAGGAGTTTGAGACCAGCCTGGCCATAATGGCAAAACCCCATCTCTACTAAAAATACAAAAATTAGCCAGGTGTGGTGGCACACACCTGTAGTCCCAGCTACTTAAGAGGCTGAGACAGAATTGCTGGAACCTGGGAGGCAGAGATTGCAGGGAGCAGAGATCACACCACTGCATCGCACTCCAACCTGGGCAACAGAGCAACACTATGTCTCCAAAAAAGAAAAAAAAAAAGATCAAACTACAGGGCTTCTGTGTTTCAGCACAGCACTTCTTCCAAAGGCTCCCCTCAGTCAACACCTTCACCTCCACATAGCACTCACTCAAGGATAGCTATAGATGCCAAACTGATTCCACATTCTTTTACTCTGACAAGACTCTGTTCTAGGCATATCAGCTGAATCACCATCCCTCCATTCTACCACACTCCTCCTTCCCTCTTCGCCTTTGTTCTTGCTAGTTCCCCTGCCAAGAATTCCCTTTTCTATCTGGCAAACCAATATTCATTGCTCAACACCCAGCTCCCTCTCTGGGAAGTCTTTCCAACTCCCTCCAAGCTTATCAATTCTGTTCCCATCACTTTACATGTGGTCCTGTTTTTCTCTTTTTTTTTTTTTTTTTTTTTTTTGAGACAGAGTCTTACTCTGTCGCCAGGCTGAAGTGTGGTGGCACAATCTCGGCTCCCTGCAACCTCTGCCTCCTGGGTTCAAGTGATTCCCCTGCCTCAGCCTCCCAAGTAGCTGGGACTACAGGCATGAGCCACCATGCCCAGCCCAGTTTACATGTGGACCTTTCTTATCCCATGCTACTCTGCACCGTGCATCACATGGCATCATGATTCATCTTCTGTATCTCTGTTTTCCTTGCAAGTCTGGGTTTCTCAAGAAAAAGAATCTTCTCTTAAAATCTGTTCTATCCCAGGTACCACACATAGTAGCTGACATAAAGTAGGTGCTTAAAAGATTAACTGAATTTGAACAGCATCACCCAGCCCCAAACTATAAGCAAGCCGTGATATCTATGAAAGTTTTTCTTATTCATAGACCAATAACAGTGGCCACTTCCTAAGCAGACATCCCCCTCCTTACACAAACCACATCCTTTTCAGGTAACTCCTCTCACAGCCCCACATGACCAGGGGATGCATGCTGTGAACTCAGAGAATTCTAGCCCAGGAAGCCATGATTTGGAAAACAAACCCTTTGAAAAGCTTCTGCACCAAATTCTAAAGACAAAAAAAGACTTAGGATTCTTTTCTATTTCAAGATACCAACACCATGACTTCCTTCCATTAAGAGAGGAAATTTGAATTAAGTAAAAATCCTTCCTTCTAGATTCCCCAGAAACCCTTTCTCTTTGCCCTATGACTAAATTTTATGCACAGCAACACAATGTTAGAGCTGGCAGGGACTTTAGGGGTTTTAAGTCCAATCCCTTCATTTTACAGTGAAAGAAACTAAGGGTCAGCCTGCCTGCCTTCTCATTCTAGAAATATTTGTTACAAGATCAGCTGTGGATTCCAGAAATTTCTATCACATGGAAGTTCCCAGCAGAGGGAAAGAGAGCCCATTCCTCAGAAAGGCTTGGGCATACGCAGAAACAGGTTCTGGTGATAAACTATTTTGAAGAAAGCCAGGCAAGGCACTGTCCACAGAGAAATCACTTAGTTAAGACTGCCTGAATACGCATTGATTTTGACTGAAAATAAAAGCAATTGCTACCACTTGTTCAGCAACTACTGTGTTCCAGGCCATAAATCAAGACACTTTTGGCATACCAGTCTTCCCTACAACCTAAGAGGGCCTCTGGAGTCAGGGGCCTTAGGAGAGGGATGGAAAGAACAGTCTGCCAAGCTCAGGGAAACCAGGAAGAGGGGAGGAGACTGGTGGGATGATGGGAACACACCGCCAGGATTTCCTCCAAGGTGCTGCACCTTAAGGTGAGTTACATCCTGCTTGGGTGGGCCCCTGCCCCAATTCTCAGTTGGCTGGAAGAGGAGGAGGCTAAGGGGGCAGAGGTGTCTGTTCTTTGGGATGCTCCCTGGTGGAAGACCCACAAGGAAGTGATACAAGGACAGATCCCCGGTCAGTGGTTCCTGTGTTGGGCTCATGAGAGATTGCTCCAACCTTCCCAGTACTTGTATGTTGGTTTTCTGTTTTATTTTCTCTAAATTAAGCATAAACATTTTATATGTACTTTGCTAGGTATCATCTAAAAAATAACAATTTTCTACCACTTTTGGATGTTCTATACAAGAGGACAAGACTTAGCCTTTAGTTTAATTGCCAAGAAAATGAAATATGTTAACACCTTTTTGTAGTGCCTTTCCCATCCTGGGACTGTGACAGATGGCTCATTAACAGCTTAATATCCATTCTCCCTTTCTTCCTTACAAACAGAACCCTGTTTTTATTCCACTGGGTAAAGAGGTCAGCTAAAGGACTATATTTCCCAGTGTTCTCTGCATCTAGGTGTAACCAGTGAGATATGAGCAAAAATTGTTGGGTAAAATTTCCCAACTTTAGTTGGTCTTGGTAGAACAATGGGCACCCCAGTGGTCCCCAGGCTGAGAGGGTATCCCTAGTTCCTTATATCCCTGAAAGGCCCCCAGGAGTGTGCCTAAGCGGAAGGGCAGGACCTGAGAGATCTCTCTTTCTGCTGGTGAAGCCGGAGGATCTCCTCTTCCTCTTCTTGGCATAGCTTCTCCCGCAGTTGTTCCATCTTCTCTTGCTTCAATTCCAGCAGGTGCCTCTGGTCTTGCTCAAGTACTTGGGCCACTGCCTCTTCCATAGTCTTTAGTGCAGCCTCTGAGAGCTGCTCTGGGGGTGCCACAGGCTCTGTGGATCGCCTACCATGGGAGGAGAATGGCACATCATCACAGTGTTAACACCCACCCACCTCTGGCGTCAAGGTTTGAAAGGACATAAAACATCACATATGGAATACTAATGGAGGGCCCACAATCAGGAGTCAGTCAGGTCACCCAAGGGCAGGCAAGAGATACAGTGAACACTTGTTCCATAGGACAAGCCCCACTGTGGCTATTTAAGGCTCTAAGAGCCTAGGGAGAAGGGTGGCCCACAGCGGGCTCTCAGCACACTTGGGTTGTGGCCCAAGATCAAAATATGAAGTTTCAGCTCAAGATCTGGCAGCAGCAGGGAGAGAGTAAAGCTCTGTCCCTAATGGATTCCTTCCTAGAATGGCTCACAGCCCATTACCACCTCCCCACTAGAGCTCTGCCTGCTGCTTAAGGCTCATGCCAGCAATTTGGGAACAGTCCCCAGAGGCTGCTTTCTGCCTCCCAAGCTGAGTAGTGGCCAATGTATATGGGCCCACAAGAGAAGCAGCAGCAGGTCTCCTAGCTCTGAGAACTACAACAGTCCAGGAAGGCCCAGGAATAGGAAACTCCCCTATCATACCACCAAGGGGGCCAGAAGGAGATGCTTCCCTAAGCCAAAAAAATGTAGCAAGCATGCACATGAGTGCCACGTTCCCTGTCTCCCCATGGGGGCATGTTTCCACCTGCTTCAAGTTAATTAAATGTTTAGAAATGAGTAAATGAAATTCAGAGCTAACCTGGATGCATAGGAGGTGGTGAAATCAGGAATAATGGTATCCATTAAAAAGATGTGTATGAAGTAGTAAGGACTGTTATTTTGCTTGTTTTCTGGTTCTTGAAGGAAATGCTCCAAGAGGAATCCAACAACATTCTGAGCAGTGAAAGCATGGGCAGGATAAAGCATTGTGCCTCCTAGAGTGACTTTCCTGAAGGCCAGAACGTGTCTGCACTTCCAGGTCCCTCAATCTCATGTTGGAAATCGGTCTCGCCACACACCCTCCTCGCACAGCACTCAGGCTGATGCAGGCCCAGCACAGTGGCTCAGTCAACCTAAGCGGAAAGTGTGGGCATAACCCAAAACAAAGAGGGCTGGGCAAGAGTCACACAGGGGAGCCAGTCCTCCCTGCTGGGGACTCAGAACCCCTGCCCCCTCCAGCTCGAGCCTCACTGAAGATAGAAAGCAGCAGGAAGGATCAGATTAGAAAAGTAGAGGAAAACAAGGACTTACGGATCCCATAGCAGCACCTTGAGACTAGAGAGAGAAGGAAGACAGGACAGGCTGCTGTCATCTCTAAATTACCATAAAGACCTTTCCTTTCCCCTTTCCTAAAATTGTAACTTAGACCAGAAAGAATCTTGAGCTATTCCTGCAATTCTTTTGTGCTCCCAACTCCATCTCCTCCCTCCTTCCAAAGCCTGGCTTCCTCTCAGTCCCCTGACATAGCCCAACTGTGGCAGGTGTAAGAGATGTGGCTGCCACCTCCTCTGAGAATCCTACCCTCAGAAAGAGCCTTCCCCCACAGCTCTCCGCCTCATCAACCCTCCAACTCATTTCCAACCTTGGCTGAAAACATCTTTTTTCCCTGAGATGGTACCTTTTAATGTCTCTCTCCTGCAGGCTGCACAGCTATGTGGAGCCCTAGGGACAGATGCTGTGGAAAGATGGGGCATCAGACCGCATGGGGCGTGTACCCAGGCTATGCACACCAGTGAGCTTGCACAGAGGCAAGCTGGGCTGTCTGTTAGTGGACCTCTTCTCCCTCACCCAGTTTTAAAGATCTAGTAGTTGAAACTCCTAGCTTAGGTCCAAGGCAGTAAACAATGCCTGAAAGACATGTGACGTGACTGGGAAGTTGAGGACTCCAAGGGAAAAAACAGCTCCGATTTCTAGGCCAACTCCTCATGTATCAGAATCAGTGGGACCTAGTTTCCTACAGTGAGTGACAAAGGGGAGGCTCTGCAGGAACATAATCATTCCAGGCTGGCCACCAAGTAGCTCAAATTTACCTGAGAGAAAGCAAGAAGGGAAGCCAGGGAAAGAGGGGGAAGTGGGAGAGCGGAGGGCTGGGAAACAGCACCTAGAAACACTGTGAAATGGTTTTCATGGTACTACCACAAAAGAATGTCTCCTCTCATACTCAACTTGGTGTTCTGATTCTTTTATCCTCTTCTCTGCAAACCCTCAGGAAGGATGCTGGCATGACAAGGGGAGGATCTTCCTGTTTCCTAGTCCTGGCCTTGGCTAGAAAGCATTCAGTGAGTGACACGTGCTGCCTCCTGGCCCTACCTGCTCCCTCTAGCCTGCCCTCTTCTCCTAACCCTTCAGATCCAGCTTGACTACACGTTTGGAAGCTGGGAGACACAGAACTACTCCCACAAAACCTAGATAACCCATCCATTCCTAATGAAGCTGTAAAGATTAATAACAAGGACGTGATGGGCCTTGAAGAGACTCAAGAAAGCAACAGAAGGCATTTCCTAAGGGGATGGTGTAAACTGAGACTGCATGGTCAAGCATCTCTGAGACCCTAGCAGGGGCAGCCTCACTGGGATGGCAGGAGAAACACAAGGGAAGGGAATGAATCAGCCAAGGCAGCCAGGGAGGAGACAGGGAAGCTGAGGCCCCAACTGAGCCCTGCTGCCTCTAAAGGTCCTGGGGAGACACCCCTCTGACCTCTGTCCAATCTTCCTCTCTCTGAACTACACCCACCTCCTGTCCTCAAAGAAAGCATCCTGAATTGGCTGACCACAGCCACCAAGGAGATAGGAAAGCCGTATAATTCCTCCAGGTCACAGTTTTCATTGTAGGATGTATCAGCATCTGAAAAACATGGCCACCCCTTCCCTACACCACTCCTGCAATGTTATGGTGACAACACGAGATCCTGAGCTCACCAGCTCTCAGTGAGTAAAGTGTGCATGAACTTCCTGTGAGTAATGTGTGCATGAACCTGTCTCTGCTTACCAGTCAATCCCAAATCCTTTAGACCTGCTCAGTTCACAGAAGGGAAAGTGTTTAAGTCCTGACCCTTATCTTTCTCCATGCAGAGAAAAGGAACAGTGGCTACAGACTAAAGTCAGAAGTCTAGGGCTCTAGTGACTAGAATCTAGTGTTTTTTTGTTGTTTTGCTTTTGTTTTTGGAGACAGAGTTTTGCTCTTGTTACGCAGGTTGGAGTGCCCTGGCATAATCTAAGCTCACCGCAACCTCCGCCTCCCAGGTTCAAGCGATTCTCCTGCCTCTGTCTCCCAAGTAACTGGGATTATAGGTGCCTACCATCATGCCCAAGCTAATTTTCTTATTAGTAGTAGAGACAGGGTTTTGCCATGTTGGCCAGGCTGGTCTCAAACTCCTGACCTCAGGTGATCCACCTGCCTCAGCCTCCCAAAGTGCTGGGATTATAGATGTGAGCCACCATGCCCTGCCTACAATCTAGTTCTAATTCTGCCGCTGACTAGCAATGTGGCCTTAGACAAACTCCTTCACTTCTCTGAGCCTCAGTTTCCTCATCTGAAAAATGGGTAGGAAGGGGAAGGGTGAGAATGGAAGGAAAAAAGCTAAATGATTTCTAAATTTTAGAAGCACTTGGTGCAACAATATAGGTGAATCACAAAAACACATTGAGCTTTGAGTACAAGCACCAAAGATCAAGCCTGTATACTGTATAATTCCATTTATGTGAAGTGGAGAACTGGAAAAATGACCCTTTGGTCAGAACTTGGAACTCAGAGGCCAGAACAGTGAAGAAAGACCTGGGGTGGATGGGTTGAGAGGGGTATGAGGAAACGTCTTCAAGAGCTGGAGACATTCCATGTCTGCACGGCCATTATACAGTGTGCACAGATGCAAATCTCCACTGAATTGTACACTTCAGGTCTGTGTACTGTGGTGTATATACATACCTTAACAACATTTATAAAGAGAAAAACAGTACTTGGCAGACAGGAAACATGATTTAGCAAGTTCAGCAAATGAGCTAGGAGGTACCAGCCATCCGTCCTTGTATATCAAGTCCTGACCAGGAGCCCCAGGGGCGGAAGCTAACCCCACATAAGGATCAGCCATGCCTGCGTGGGGCTCTTAAGGCCACACACACAGCACCAAGGATATGCTCAATCTCCCCTACACTCTAACCCCTGGCCAGAGCCAGTGCCCCAATTTCCACCACCCAAGAGTGAATAGGCATGGAAGCAGCCCACACACAGCAGAGGACAGGGACAGACATGTAAAACTGGCCCTTACACCTCTGGAGAGACTGGCAGGGTGGGGCCGACCACCACCTTCTCCTCAGGCTCCTCTGCCTCTTCCTGTCCAGGGCCCAGTTCCTCAGGCTGGGAGTGTTGCTCCTTGCCCTTCTCGTGGGCAGCAGGTGGGCTTGAGGCCTGCTCCCTTGATGTCAGTAAGGAAACAACTGTGTTAAAGCCAGTAAGAAACCAAGAGGCTTAAGACGCACGCCATTTGGGGTCAAAAAGCTATGACAGAGATAAGAGAGACAGCCCCAATAGTTTCCCGACCTTGGGTATGAAACCTCCCTCTCCCCTCCCTTCCTCTCCCTGAATTATCTGCATCAAAGACCAGAGACTCCTGCCTCACAATGGAAGCAGGATGGTTATGGGTACCCCAGGAGCTCCGTACACAGCAGGTGTTCAGTGGATGCTGTTGATTGCACATCGATGTTGCTCAGGTTCCCTGGTGACTCATTCTAACCCAATGAATTCTAAGACCAGCATCTTTCTCTTGCTAGGGGGACAAAGAACTAGTAAATGCCCACCAGGCTCTGAACTAAGCTAGGATGCAAAGGTTCTCTCGGCTGGATTCAGAGTGATCTGGGCTTCCCTCTCCCTGGGCCAAGCACATTAACATGGCTCCAACTGGGGTTGCTGAATGACTAGAAGTAGGATGACTACTGGAAACAGGGGTGCTGGCAGGGAGGGGACTAGAGAAAGGGCTTCCCTGGCAGCAATGGAGCAGCCAGAGTAACAACAGTTTCTGCTCAGCCCCTGGCAGGGAGGCAGCTGGGACAAAAGAGATATCTCCTTATTCAAGAGTCTCTAAGTTCCTCTAATCAGACCACATACTCTAATTTCAGCTGCATACTGAGGCACATTGTACAGGAAGAGGCACATTTCCTCATATCCAGCTCCCACAGGACACTAAGCAGACCCTCTGCTACTGCTGCTGCTGAGGGTACAAACCCACCCTAGCTCCCTCCCCAAGCCGACCCCACCCCCATCTCTCTCAACACTAGCACACAAGCCCACTACATGCAGAGCAGCCACCACCAGGGGTGCTTCCCCTCATCCTTACCTCTGGAGGGAAAGCAGCGGGCTGAGGCTGGCTACAGAGTCCTCCCCAGGCTCCTCTGCCTCCTTCTGCTCGGGCTGCCCCTTGGGACCCTGAAGGGGCTCTTCTTGGGTGGCCAGGCTGACAGGGGGACTCTGGGCCCACTCCTCATGCAGAAGTGGAGGAGATAACCTGGTCAGGCCAGTCAGAGCAGCAGAGTCAGGACCCTCCATATGAAGAGCGGGAATAGAACTGGGGAGTGCAGTGTGTAGACCTAGGTCAATCCCTCTTCCTAGGTTATGCCCCAGCCCTGCCCCCACATCCATCTGTGGAGAGCCACAGTGGGGCCAGGCAGCCAGACATGCAGGAATGAGAGAGTCCCTCCTGAGCCCTCCTTTTGCCTAGACTGGAGTCAGGCTTCCCAGGGGTCCCTGTGCTGCCTCTGCTTGGTTCAGGAGTAAAAGCTGGACATACTCACAAGTGTACCCATCCCCAAAGCTCACCATCACTGGGGCCAGGGACGGGCAGAAGAACTGAGTGGGGAGAAAAAGAGAAGCCAGACTCAAGAGGTCAGACAAGAAAATGCATGAAGCTGTCATGGATAGTTTTTGCAGGTCCAAAAGTGAAATGACCATTCTCCTTCCCCTTCCAGGGTGGCCGCCCTTGTCACGAGGCTCAGGCCTGAGAAGCTGAGAGCGCCTGTCACATCACACACAGTTGTACACACACAGATAGCTGCAGCCATTTCTGATGTGGCAGGGCCCTGGCTCAGAGCTCTGAGTTGCAGCACCAACCCTCCAATGTGACTCCTCCAGACTTCCAGAAGGTTTCTTCAGCCCTGGCGCATAACCAGCCCTGGACCACAGACAGCTTAATTAGCCCTGGCCCCACAATGGTGCCCAGAGTCCTGCCAAATGCACCCAGTGGCACTTCACATTCCCATCCTGGTGCAGAATCAGAGGGTCCACTCATGTATACAAACATATACACATTGCAGGTACACACACATGCACAAACATATACACATGCATGCGCACGGAGAAACCTTGCAAGGCCATCCAGCCAGCTCACCACCTGCCGTCAGGCAAGTGTACACTGAGCCAGGCCAGCCACCAAAGCCAAGAATTCTGCCCAAGTCCACACCACCCTGAAGGCACCACATCTCATGTCCCTGGGGATATCCTCCCACCTATGGTGCCTCTCCAAGCCTTTGGACTGCTTGCTCTGCAGCTCATCTTGGCTGGACTGGCTGTCATCCCTGTCTTCCATTCCCAGTGGCTGCTGGGCCTGTAGGAGAGAAGCAATAAAAAGTTTGTGTTGTAGGGATTGCATCTAGGTCACTCCATCCACCTGCTGGCTCTCAAGCTTGGGAGAAGCACTGAGAAGCTACTCTATAGAGGATGGGGCCATGTGGGACATAGAACAGAAAGTTGTTCTACCGTGCAGTGAAGCTTCCCAAGCTTTGGCTAAGCCCCCAAGCTCACAGCTGCTCCCTGAGTCAACTCTGAGGCCTGGGGAGGATGAGGCAGAAGACCGCAGTCACTACACACAGAGTCAGGAGCCAGAGGCCGAAGAAGAACACACAAGAAAAAGAAAATCCTGCCTCCTGCTACTGGAAGCCTGTACTGCGAGCTTCACAGAAAAAGCAGAGAAATCCATGAGTACTCCAAATCCACGGAGGCCCAGATTAGCAGTGTCAGTGAATTACAGAGGTGCTAAAATTAAAAGGGCAGAATCGGGGGCCACAGGCAAGCACATGAGAAAGGATAAGTGCTGGAAATATGGAGTCAGAGAGCTGTACCCGAGACAAAAAGGGCACCACCTGGCACCTGGAGGAAGGAAGACAGGGCACCCCCCAAGCACCCAGGCAACATCAGCAGGCAATGATGCCTCCTTCCCAGTCAACAATTATATTATCCATCAAAAACAAAACAAGACCAGGCATGGTGGCTCACGCCTGTAATCCCAGCACTTTGGGAGGCTGAGGAGGGTGGATCACAAGGTCAGGAGTTCGAGACCAGCCTGACCAACATGGTGAACTCGATCTCTACTAAAAATACAAAAATTAGCAAGGCATGATGGCACATGCCTGTAATCCCAGCTACTTAGGAGGCCAAGGCAAGAGAATCACTTGAACCCGGGAGGCAGAAGTTGCAGTGAGTGGAGATCACACTACTGCACTCTAGCCTGGGTGCCAGAGCGAGACTCCGTCTCAAAAAAAAAAAAAAAACAGAACAAAAATATCATTTTAAAGCTTGGGTGATTAGTGAAATTTGGCAAGTTGGGGGGGAAAAAGGAAGCAGGGAAAACTATTTTTTTTTTTTTTTTTTTTTGAGACAGAGTCTCACTCTGTCACCCAACCTGGAGGAGAGGATATTGTTGATCATTTCAAATATTTTCCACAGAGGTAGTCACCCTGGGGTCAACCCTTTGTTCTAGCTCTTCCTGCCTGGGAAGTCTGTCTCCTCCACTGTATAAAATGGGATAGTAAACTGCAACTCACAGGGCTTCTGGTGAGGATTAAGTCAGCTCAAATGCGTTAAGGCCCAACTCCCGACCCAAAGAAGGCATGCCATCAACGTTAGTTCCTCTTCTCACATTCCTCTCCCTCTCCCCCAGCCTAAGGTAAAAAACAAAAGACTCTGCCGGTGCCAGTCCCCATCCTAGGACCTGCACTCCTTCTGTCATACCAACAGGAGCCCCGTCTGTTCTGGGACACAGGGTTAACAGGAGAGGTGGGGCGGGAGACAGCTCACTCCGTCTTCCCCAGTGGGGTCCCCAGCCCTGTGCCCACAGCCCCCACACCTCTCCATTGGCAGCCTAAGCCCCAGCAGCTGTAGCCAACCCTGCCATCTGGACGGGTAAGGAAGGGCAGGGCCTGAACTAAAACCCAGCTCCCCCAAATTACATTAAAAATAGAAATGCTGCCTGTGAGTACCTCCCTGTGCCTGCAGCAGAAGGGCTCCCTGCCAAGGCTGCCACTCCTCATCGCATCAGCCTGGGCAGAGCCTGCAGACAATGGCAGGGCATGCAGCCTTTCCCACCCCACCTCTCTCCCCTTCCAGAGTGCAACTCACAACTTGTCTTCCCCTACAGACCACACCATGCCCATCAAATATCTCCCTCTCTCACCTGTCAAGAAAGAAAATCACACAGGCCAACTCCATTTAACAAACTAAAATATAAGATGAGTAATAAAGTGGGGTGATAGTAATAAAAATAGGGGGACTGCACCCTGAGTCAGAAAGAACTCCAGGGCTACTGGCCACACACCATAAGGAAAAAGGCAGCAGATAGGAGGGCTGGCTACAGACCATCGCTTTCTGGCCTCTCCCTTCTTGTTTCACTTATATTTCTGTGAGAAACTGAACTAGCCCCACCGACAGAGAAAAGGGGATCCTCTGGGGAAATACCCAGACAGAGGGTCCTCTTGGTAGAGAGGGTTCCCTCCCTTGAACTTTTTGCTCCAAAAAAAGAAGCAAAGGGACCAGATGAGGAAAGCAGCCAAGGTCAGCATTCTTCAGAAAGGGGAGACAATCGAGCTGGGCACAGTGGCTCACGTCTATAATCCCAGCACTTTGGGAGGCTGAGACAGATGGATCACAAGGTCAACAGTTGCAACACGGTGAAACCCCATCTCTAATAAGAATATAGCCAGGCGTGGTGGTGCATACGTGTAATCCCAAATACTTGGGAGGCTGAGGCAGGAGACTCATTTGAACCCAGGAAGTAGAGGCTGCAATGAGCAGAGATCACGCCACTGCACCCTAGCCTGGGCGACAGAGCAAGACTTTGTCTGGGGATAGGGGGAAGAAAGGGGAGACGATCGCACATCCTAAGCCTCTGGGCTAAGGTATCATTTCCCTCTCCTTAACTCAGCTCTAGGGTCTTTTTTTTCATTTAGGATTCAGTCCTTAGTTAAATAAACAATAGTGTATTCATACAGCAGAAGACTGTGCAGGCAACAAAATAAATATGGTAGATCTATATAAAATACCTCAGAAATAAGTCAAGAGCCTATTCTCAAATTTAAAGAGCATATCACCCAGCAGTTTAGGTAGCACAATCCCAATTTTTATGGGAAGAAAAAAGATAAGCAAGTAGAAAATAGATACATGCTTATATGTACACAGAAAAAATTCTGGAAAGGCACATGAAAAATGTGAATGGAAACTGTCCATAGTCCCTGCCTGTGTGAGTAAGGTTAGAGGAAGTAGAGAACTTGGACATTCTGTATTACTTGAAATAATTTTATAATCACTTTTCTAATTCATTATGAAATGTATTATGTCTAATTCATTATGATCTTTTTTTGTGGTGATAGTTGTGAAGGTACATAATATGGTAAAACTTATCAACTAAATGTGCAGTTTATTGTATATTGATTATATCTCAATACAGCTGCATTAAAAATATTTAAAATGAACAAAAACTAGCATAGCTCAGTTCTAAGCCCTCTCTCCTGCCCTTGAGAGAGACATGGAGAATATGGCAAATTGGGCAAAAGCACACAAGGACAGAGGACGGCAGCTACAGTTGTCCCATGAAAGGGCTGCTGCTCTCTCCTCCAGCTCCACCTTCCCATTCCAGCCCTCCATCTCCACCTTCCCACTCGAGCCCTCCATCTCCAGAGATGGCAGACACCTGGAGGCTGAGCCCTGCAAAGGCTCGGCTACTTGGTCAGCTATGCTGAGCACCCAGTTACCCACATCACAACAGGCAGGTCACAAGATATAGTTTAAGGGACGGGGGTCCCCAACCCCTGGGCTGCAGAGCAGGAGGTGAACAGTGGGTGAGCAAGCCTTATCACCTGAGCTACACCTCCTGTCAGATTAGCAGTGGCATTGAGTTCTGACAGGAGCACGAATCCTATTGTGATCTGTGCATGTGAGGGATCTAGATTGTGTGCTACTTGTGAGAATCTAATGCCCCAACCCCTGTCCCCATCTGTGGAAAAACTGTCTTCCAAGAAACTGGTTGCTGATGCCAAAAAGGCTGGGGACAGCTGGCTTAGGGCTTCCTCTGCCAGGGATGGCCACCTCAGGAGGCTGCAGCTCATGAGAACCAAAACCAAGTCAGGTCCTGCTACTGCGTTACAGCAAGTGGCATAGCCCGAAAAGAGGCTGCTCTCCACATCAGGTCTTAAGTAGGACCCAAAAATCTTTTTTTCAAGCTCCCAAGTAATTCTGATACTGGCCAGGTGTTGGACTCCAAGCAATGGAATTCACCCCCACCCCACTGACTCAGTAACTTCCCCACTCACCTACTGCCAAAGGCGCCTCACAATTCACCTGCTCCAAACCTTTCCTGACTAATCCCATCTTCCCTTGTCTGTGCCCTCACATCTCTTTAGCACTGCAAATAGGATGACCAAGGTCCAGCAGGGACCAGGTAGCTGGACAGTGGCCCAGAAAGGTTTTATCAGCCAGACCTGAGAGGAACATGTGGGGCTCAAATGCAGTTGGCCTGAAAACTCTATCCTGTCTCTAGCACACATTTCACTAAAGTCTCCCAGGCTGGGTTCATATGAAACATCTTGTTTGTTTCACCCAATAAATTTCCATTTTGCCCAAACCAAATGTTCCCTTAACCTTGCAACTTGCAGAGACCATGTGCCAGAACTGCTCTTCTAACCAATCTACAAAGGAAAAACAAACAAACAAAAAAGGTCTTGGCTTGAAGCTCCTTGAGGACAGGATCTATGTTTGAGTCATCTTTGTACCCTACGTGGGTCAGTTGTCATCCATGCACATACAGACCTTACATCTGGCAGGGGAGACAGACAACCGTCAAACAAAATAAGAGGGACTAAGCGGAGCAAAGAGAGGAACAATTCATCCCACCTGAGGAGGTGGTGTCAGAGGTGAACCTCCAGGACCAACAGCTTGCAGGGAAAAATGGGAAAGTAGAGTGGCAGGCAGAGGGGTGGCGGAGGTGGAGATGTGACCCAGCGATGGTGAGCGGCAGACCCAGCTGGTGAGTGGCAGGTGGGCTGGGCACATAAAGAGGATGGATGGGCCAGGTTGGGAAGTATCTTGAAATCTACAGTCTACACAGTGTTTTGGACATGAGCAGACATTCCCTTGCAGCTGGTGAATGAGTGGATAAATGGAAAAATATATGGGGAAAAAGGGCTTTAATTTATAGCAACAACACAGGAATGGTCAGAAACCCATGAAAGGTAGTCAGAACCATGCCTTAATGAATTAGAAGGGAGAGAACTTCCAGAAATGCACCGTGTGGTGGGCGGGGCCTGGCTCTGGGTTATCCAAAAAAGTGGTTGTGAGGGAAAATGAGGCCCCAACTCAGCCCACCACCCAGAGAGACTCACCTGCCAAAGGGCTCCATCCAGGACGGGGGAAAGCACACCAACATCCAGCAAGTGCTCTGAGATCCGGGTGTGAAAACCAAAGTCCTGGAGACAGCGGAGATGCAAAGGTCAACTCTGCCTCTGTCATGGTCAACACCCACCAGGCCTCTTCACTACTCCTAACTCCACTTTCCAGAAAGATGTCTACTCTGTGCCCAGCCCTGTGCCGAACATTTCAACATCTGCTAATTTCATCTTCAAAATAACACCATGACTAGATAGAAAGATATGTGATAAAGCAAGTATGGTAAAATGTTAATTGTGGCCTATATGTGGTGAATATGTGGGTATTCACTGTACAATTTTTTTCATTGTTCTATATGTTTGAAATTTTTCATAATAAAGCTGTGGGGGAAAAATAACCCTGTGAGACTAAAATTCTTACCCTCATCTCACAGATAAGGAAGCAGGTTGGAGAGCACATGTAACTCGCCCAAGGTCACAAAGCTGAAAAGCAGGGGCCTGAGGGTCAGATGGGGCCCTGTACTGACTCCAAAGCCCAAGCTCTTTCCATGACACATGCTGCGAAGGATGTCACTCTCCAGCATCTCTCCTCATCCCTGGTGCCCAACCAGGCATGAGAAGAGAGGCCAACATCCCCAGAAAACCTGTGGGCAGTTTGGCTCTTTCCAGCTCATTCCATTCCCCATTCCATACAGGTGCCCATCTAGACAATGAGGGTTAATTAGTGGTGCTTCCAGCACTGGCTTCTCTTTGGGACAGGCAGCAAGTGACCACACTGGTGCCAGTTTGTTGCTATCCTTTGGCTGCCACAGGCCCACAGTCCCACCCTCTCTCTCTAAGCCTAAGATCCCAGCTGGGCTAAGTGAAAGACTGCTACCCAACAGCATGCTAATGGGGACAGTTCTGTCACATCAGCCCTGATTAATGGTGAGACACCCAGACAAAGTCTGGTCCCACTGTCCACAGCCTCCTCCATCCACTTCCATAGAGAAGAAAAATGCTGATGGGCACATTTCTCCATATGGGTGACTGCTTTAGAAGAGCCAGCCCCCTTGCTTCCAAGAGATCTGTGACATGGCGATTCTTCATGGACAGTTTTTGCCAACGACTTTTTGCCTTCCCTTTCTAGCTTGTGGGTTTTTCTTCTTTTTTGGTGACATTTTCCATTCAGTTGGAGTTCTACTTCACTGAATGCCGCTGCCATCTGCCTCCTAAGCCCATGGCTCAATGAGGCACAAGCACACACAGCCTCCTAATTCCTCTGCACCTCCTCATATCATTACTGTTCATCCCTGACCCTCTCCCACTAATTCCTTCCCTTTAATCTGCCTCCTTCGAACAGATGGAGGATGGCTTCTAGAGGTAATGCTCTGCCAAAAAGCACCCTGAACTATTCCCCTTAGGTACAGACCTGGCAAATGAAAGCAGGATACAGCAGGCTGGGTAGAAGGTCTGGGACAAAGAAACCACGGATGCTGGCACTCCAAGACAAAGCCTTAACTTTAGAAATGAAGCCACAGCATCCCTCCTGACCAGAACTTGGGGACTGGTCCTCGCCACAGCTCAGTGATCCCATAAACACAAACACGCCAGTCTCTAACCTCCTAGGCTCATATAATGCTCCTGCTAGAGGTGACTCACATGATCACACAAGCAATTCACAGAATAGTGATAGTAATAACAGCTAACATTTTATGTTATTTTATATACAACATTATTATTAATGTTTATATGCTAACATTTTACACTCTCTGCCTCACTTTCTTCTCACAACAAACCTATAAAATAGGTAGTATTACCCTTAGTTAATGATTGAGAAACTAGAGCTAGATAAGACTCGAGCATGAGTTCAAAATTCTCCCCTTACAAGCTGTGTGATCCTAGGCAAATTACTTAACCCTGGAGACTCACAAATCCATGCTCTTCGCCACCAATCTACTGCCTCATCTCAAACTCACCAGCCCACGGAAGGACTTGGGGTCAGAAGCTATGGAGTCTGAGAGCTGTGGTTCCTTCATATGTTCACTAATTTCCGATTCCTGGAGAGAGAGACACAAAGAGAAATCCCTCGGCAGAGCATAAAGGGTCCTCGTCACTACCCAGGGCATTCTGTTCAGGCCGTGGTGCCAATACAGGGCTCAGGCCAAACTGAAATCCACCCTTCTGGAAAACCTAAAGGAGGCCTGTGGATCCCGCCATTCTCTCTGGACATGGGCACAGCCTCTGCCCCACTGGGGCTGGGCAGCTGAGTAGAGACAACCACACTGTGAATCAGATCAGAAGGATTTCCACAAGTAAGAAGAGCCGAGAGTAGTGGAGATGGTTAGAAAGGTGGCAGTATGAAAGTCTGATGCTATCCTAAAAAACAGAAGGACAGCATGTTTCCCAGAAAATAGATAAAAGCTTTTTTTTTTTTCCAAGACAGTCTCACTCTGTCCCTCAGGGTGGGGTGCAGTGGTGTCATCTCAGCTCACTGCAGCCTCCACCTCCCAGGTTCAAGCGGTTCTCCTGCCTCAGCCTCCCAAGTAGCTGGGATTACAGGTACACATCACCATGCCCAGCTAATTTTTATATTTTTAGTAGAGACGGGGTTTCACCATGTTGGCCAGTGGTCTCAAATGCCTGACCTCAAGTGATCCACCTACCTGGGCCTCCCAAAGTGCTGGGATTACAGGCATGAGCCACCATGCCCAGTCAATAAAAGCTCTTTAAATGAATTCTCTCACCATCTACCTGGAGAAGGAACAGGACTAAGGGTTGAAAAAAGTCTAAAATGCCAAAGGATCTCCCCATTCAGACTTGCTTCTGTCCATTTTGGTCATTAGCCTGGTCTTGCCAAAGCAACCACTCCCATGTCTTGGGATAGTTCAGAAAGAGCCACAAAAATGGACGAGAAGAGTCTTCTTGTCACCTAATCTACCTATGCTAGGATAGAATACTCCCAAATGTGGTACCTATCACCCCCGACCACCACCGCACCCCACCTCACCACAACACACAACGTTCTCTCTCTATAGGAACTCCAACTGCTGCAACCATGACTGCCCCAAATTTCTTGTACTTGTCAAGAAGTACAAGGGGAGCCAGGCTCAGTGGCTCATGCCTGTAATCTCAGCAGTTTGGGAGGCCAAGGCAGGCAGATAGAAGTTGAGCTCAGGAGTTCAAGATCAACCTGGGCAACATGACAAAACCCCACTTCTACTACTACTGGCTAAATACAAAAATTAGCCAGGTGTGGTGGTACATGCCTGTGGTCCCAGCTACTCGGGAGGCTAAGCACAAAAATCGCTTGAACCTGGGAGGCAGAGGTTGCAGTGAGCCGAGACTGTACCACTGTACCACAGCTGGGGTAAAGGAGTGATACTCTGTCTCAAAAAAAAAGAAAAGACACCCGAACTATGATGAGGTGGCCAGATCACTTGAGCTCAGGAGTTAGAGACCAGCCTGGGCAACATGGCAAAACCCTGTCTCTACAAAAAATACAACAATTAGCCGAGCGTGGTGACACATGCCTGTGGTCTCAGCAACCCAAGAGGCTGAGGTAATGCTCTGCCAAAAAGCACCCTGAACTATGATGAAGTGGGAGGACTGCTTGAGTCCTGGAGGTCAAGGCTGCAGTGAGCCGAGATCACACCACTGCACTCCAAGCCTGGGCTACAGAGCGAGACCCTGTCTCAAAAAAAACAAGAAAAAAAATGTACAAGAGGGAGGTAAGAAGCATGAGAGGAAGGAAGTAGGAGAAAAGAAAATGAACATTCCAGGAGGGTGCCAATGGAAAAGCAAATTTCTGCTCCCAATTTGGAGTGCCAGCAGGCTTGCAGCTTTATTCAGGATTTTACTGCCTGCTGGGTCTCGGCATATTTGTCACAATTAAGGGCTCTGGCTGATGCTGACAGCCCAGTGCCGGGGCTGCAAATGAAGCTCCTGACTCAGTAATAAAGATGTGGGGATAGGACCCTGCCCAAGGCTGAACAGAGCAGCAGAGGGCTACAGCCGACCCCTGCCTATGGGACACGGTGACTTACTTGGCTGGCGTCTGAACTGCCCTCTTTCAGGGCAGAATCCGTCTTCTTTGGCTCCTTGGTTGCCTCTTCCCTCCTGCAACCCTCCTCTCCTGCATCTACTGTGTCCTCTGGTGCCTCCTTTTCAGAGGCTTTGGCAGGCTCATCGCCTGTAGGGTCTGCCTTAGGGGTCACCAGATTCCTGGAAGCCTCAGGTTCACTCTTCTCATTTTCCTCTTTATCTGGAAGCCCAGGTCTTGCCCCACTTCCCTGTCGCCCTTTGCCATCAGCACTGCTCAGACTACTGTCTGCACCTGGGCTGGAGGGCTTACAGGGAGTAGGGGGACCAGCAGCATCTGAATCTAGAGAAACATCTCTCTTCTCTGGCTGGCTTGTTCTCAGAGACTCCTAGGAAGCAACAGACCATGTTAGAAAGGAAGACATAAGGAATGTGCAAAAGGAGTTGAGACATGGTACAAGACGGAAATGCTATTCCCTGATTCCCAGAGGCCGGCGCTTCAGTTCTTACCCAGTGGTTGTCAATCACCCAGTTTTTTAATTTATTTTTAATTTTTCTTTTTTTTTTTTGAGACAGAGTCTCGCTCTGTTGCCCACGCTGGAGTGCAGTGGCACAATCTCAGGTCACTGCAACCTCTGCCTCTGGGATCAAGTGATTCTCGTGCCTCAGCCTCCCGAGTAGCTAGGACTACAGGTGTGCACCACCACACCTGGCTATTTTTTGTATTTTTAGTAGAGACAGGGTTTTGCCATGTTTGGTTTTGCCAGGCTGGTCTCAAACTCCTGGCCTCAGGCAATCCACATGCCTCAGCCTCCAAAATGCTGGGATTACAGGCGTGAGCCACCGTGCCCAGCCCACTCTGCTCTTTAAAACACAGATTCGTGGCTCCACCCTAGATCTACAGAACTGGAATTTATATGATCTGGATATACCCAAGCTGATCCCCATCCACTGGGGGGCCTGGAAGTCACTGCACCGGATGATACAACTCTGTCACTACCTATCATCTCCTCAAGTAATAAATCTGTCTCGCTCCAGCCCCATTAGCCACATCATAAGACTGCAACTCAAAAGCCAATATTTATTTAAGATGATGATGGATCATCACGTGAGAGAAAGGCAGCAAATTCTCAAATTCTATTTTTCATGTTTAATAGGCAGCAGGGGAAAAACTAACAGGAGAGTGCTCTTCGTCCCTAAAGCCTCCCGGGTACACACGGATCAGCCTCAGAGATAGCAGCCTCACCAAGCACTGCTGACTTGGGTCCTCTGAGAAGCAGATGACAAGGTAGGGTTAGATGTGTAAGAGATTTAAGGCAGATGTCTATAAAGGATAAAGGAAGTGGGCAGAGCCTCCAGACTTTCTCCAGCTCTGAGAAAGTCTTGGCCAGCCCAGCAGAGTCACCAAGCAGGCTGCCACTAGAGGAGTCCCATATCTGCAGAAATGGCTCTGCTTTCAGACCCCTGCTGTGCCCTATCACCAGTAGAAAACACGGCCTTCCATGAAGCAGAGGGGATAGAAAGGGTGGCTGGAGGCTGTCAATCTCTACTAACCTCCCCTTGGCAGGGTCTCTGGAAATGAGATCTGAGCAGTGCATCCCTACAGTGGCCACACCCTGCTTCTTACATACAAACCTCACTTTAAAGACCAGTAAAAACCTAAGGCTGCTTCCACTAAATTCCTTAGAGTCAATCAAAAGAGAAAAAGAAAACCCGCCCATGGAAATACAGCCAGTGATCTCTGCTGGGCTTGGGCTGAGAAGCCTTCTTCTCAGAAAGCATCTGTGCTAACACTTGGGCTGCCAGACTGAATAACTTCTGATGAGGGATTTTTAAGGCTTCCTGATTCCCTATTCTGAAGACTCAAGGACCATGATGACTAGAGAGTGGAGAGGTCCAACAACAAGCCCTAAGCATGGCATTTATTGATGCTCTGTTACAGCGTCTGCTGTGTCCACAGAAATTACCCTCTGCCTGCAAGCCTGACAGTCTACTGACAAGCTAACCCAGGCTTCCTAGGGATGATTAAGCAGGTCAGTAAAGCAGAGTCATTCAGAGCTCAGCTTTGGAGACAGAGGCTGCTCAGGCTCAAATTTTGGCTCCACACTTAACAGATGTATGACCTTAGGCAAATTACTTATGTCTATAAATGTACCTCAGTTTCTTTCGCTAAAATACTGGGATGTAGTAGTGCCTACCTCATAGGGAGTGTTGTTGGGAAGACTAAGTGAGTTAGCACTCATCAAGTGAGTTAAGGAACTCAGAATTGTGAATGGCACACTGCCAGTGTCCCACAAATGTTAAGTTACGTTATGTAATGATACTTAAACATTCATTCACTGAACACATTCTATGTGCCAAACACTGCCTTGGGAATCCAAATATGGCCAAGATATAGATCCTGCCCTCAAGGAATTGAGCTAATATTAAGAAAAGTGAAATGCTCCCAACGGCTTTGACTGCTCAAAGCAAAGAGGCCACTAGACACAGTGGTGATACTGTCATCAGGCCCAAGCCTGTCCCAGAAAGAAGAGCAGAAAGGGAAGTAAAGAAGGCGTGAAGGAAGCTCATTTCTTGGCAGCATGCATGCAGATACCCACCAGTGCTGCCCCTCCCAGCATCCCTAACCTCCAGCATGGAGTAAATCTGCCAGGACCACTGGGCTTAGAGAAGGAAGACAAACTTCTCTTCAAGTGAAGCAGCTTCAGGCTGAGCCTAATGGCCTTTTCGTCTCTATACCACCAAATGTCTGTGGGTTTCTGAGGACTCCAAGAACAAGGTGAGAGTTGCCTGGGTTGGGCTAAGGGTGTCAGGACAACCACACCCCCTTACACAGCAAGCAGGGCCAACCCACCCTGGCCAGGCTCGTCCCAAGATTAAGAAAGGGCTCCCCACAGCTTGAAGTTGCAAGTGAAACCTGGTCCTAAGATGGCTGCCTACCAGTACACCTTAGATGTGAGGACAAAGGAGGTAACAGATAAACAGTCCCTATGGCCTTCAGGATAAAGTTTATACTCCTACTTGGCCCACAGCCCTTAAGGCCCAGCTCCTGCCTGCCTCTCATGGCTCACCTCCAGCCAAGCCCTCAGACACCCTCTCCTCCCACCTATGGATAAACATCACACTAGTTCACTACTTTGCCATGCAATTCCTAAAACACACATACACACACAATACCCCAACACACTCCCGCTGGTCCTCACCGCATCACCTCTTACAGGATGCCTTCCTTGATCCCTGGGTCAGCTGACCTGAGATAAGCCTTCGCATCATCTACCTTAATAGCTATTGTATTTGCTGATTTCCTTATCTGTTTTTGTCACCAAATTAGCTCCCCAATGTCCTCCATACCTAGTTTCTGGCACATAATAAGTGCTTAGTAAAGGTTTGTTGAACGAGTTGTTAAAACATGAATAAGTGGGTCATGCAAAGCTAGAAGTTGAGGTTTCCCCTCCCAGCCTGCAAAAAGGAGACATAATATTTATTTTACACGGTTATACAGGGATTAGACTATATTTATTATAGTGCTTATTAAACGAAAAATAGCTAAGCAAATGTTAGCTATTAATTAACTATTCAAGATGATGGAAAAACAAGTCATCTATCAAAAGTTCAGAGAATACAAGTTACAGGTAGAGATTCTCCATCCTTGAGAAGAACAGGAAGAATAACTAATGGGTACTAGGCTTAATGCCTGCGTGATGAAATAATCTGTATAACAAACCCCCAAGACACAAGTTTACCTAGATAACAAACCTGCACGTGCATCCTGAGCTTAAAATAAAAATTTAAAAGAGAGAGATTCCCATTTTTACACATGACAGGATATGGCCAAATTGTAATAATCTTAGGCCCAGCTCAATTCTTATGCTTAAATTCTTCAAAAGAAAATTTTCACATGATGGGGCTCATTCTAGACTGCCTTACCTAAAACAGTAAAACATGGGTAATATTAAAATAAATGACCTTGCATTCTCTGCACTATGTTGACTAACTGCAACCGCAGGACAGCACCTCGAGGGTGGGGAAAGCAGAGGGAGGTGAAGCATTTGTTGTAGATTATCCACAAATGAATGCACAAGAGCTGAGTGTCTAGAGAAGCCATCCAACTCCATGAGCATCTCCTTTCACCTGGCCCCTACCCCTTGTCCCCGGGCCCAAAGCCTGAAGCTCCACGCAGGATACACACTCTGGGCACCCAAATGCAGTCTCCTGCCCTGGGCTCTGTGGGAAGTGGAGGCAAAGGCGGGGCCTCAGTCCCAGCAGAGCTTTGCCCTCAGCTCATCCCTGCTCACACACCTTCTGTCTCCTCCTTTCACAGCCCCAGATCCTTGAGAATTGCAAGGCACATTTCTGCTGCTTTTTCAAAAAAGACTTTACCATCTGCATGAGGAGACAGCAGGAGAGAGCTTATAAGAATCGTTTCATGAATATTTAGCATGCCCCCCAAAAGCCATCAGGTTTCCCTCCTTCTGCCCAGACCACAAGACAAGGACCCCTATAATCCACAAGCATGGGGGACAGGGCATGAAGGATGGAGGAGCCGAACCCATGTCTGTGCACTAACCCTGTTCTGCAGAGACCCCCACCAAGCTGATCAGCAGTCCAATTTGTTTTTCAGATTTCACTGCTGCCCAGTTGGTCTCAATTCTTTGCACAGCTCCCCAGTGTTGTTAGCACTTTCCAATCGCACTGACATCATCCTGTGATTTCTAAGCCCAAGCTCCCTCCTGCTTCTTTGATCCACTGATGGGCTTTTCACCAGCACCACATGGCCACATAAAGTCTGCTCACCTACCCTACAGCCTCCTGGCTTTTGCTCACCCTCTTCCGTGTCGGTTCCATAAGCCTCTCTCTCTTCAGTCTATAACAGACTCGAAGTGGGTTTAAGTTGGAAAGCAGGAAAGGGAGGAGACAAGAACAGATGCATTTTTGCCATCCTACTGCCCTCTCATGGAATCATGAGCAAAGTGACTTCCCAGTGAGACAGGGTAGAACTAACCTCAGAAGTCCATCTTCATCCTAGGCTGTCTGGGACACTCAGGAGTGGGGGAAAGTGGGTAATTCAGAGAATCCAAAGACTGTAAACTGGGACAAAAGCCATTTTCAAAGAGTATGGCCCAAGCAGAGGCAGCATTGACTGCCCTGAAACCCCCCATTCACCACTACCACTAACACTCCCAACAAGAAAAGTCCTGATTCCTGCCTTAAGTTGGAACATAGAATCCAACACTCCATGTGACAAAAAGAACTAAATCTGCGGGGATGCTAGAGACAGGGGTAGGAGGTGTACTTAACACCACCCACTCCAGACATTTCCCCTCATCACACTGGGGTGCCTATTTATATTAAAGAGGTTATAAAAGTGTTCAAAAGTCCCCACTCCCCGCAAAGAAGCACACAGTTATCAGAAGAAAAGCTTTTAGAAATTCACCTTTCAAAAAAAGAAAAAGCCTTTTTTGTTGACATTTACAATCCATTAAGAAGTTAAATGTTAACTTGCCCAAGGTCAAAGTAAATCATGATCAACCCATATTGGGTTCTTCAATCCACCAGCTGACAGCAGGAACCAAGTACCCACTCTATCCAAAACCTGGGAAAGCCAAGAGAAGAAAAAAATACAACACAACCTGCCCAGACACTCTCTCTGTCCCAGCATGGCTCATTCACTTATTCACAAATTCATTCTCTGGATTGTTGAACGAAACACACCCAAGTGCTTTCTGTTTCAGAGGGAGTGGGATAGCTGCTGCCTGGGCATAGAGAAATGAATAGGGCGGAATCTCCAGCCTCATTATGCTCATTCTCATAGAGATTGTCTTCTTCCTCCGCAAGCAAGTAAGTCCTCCTGACACCCCTAGTCCTATACACGGTCAACCTTCTGGCACAAAGCCTGAGCATCTCCATTGATTCCATCAATATAGGTCTTACTGGTGGTGGAGAAGAAAACAAAATTGTCATTTCAGGGAACCAAATAGTCTGAAGGCTTTAGACTTAATCCTTCCAGACCAGGCCCCACTCGGAAGGAACAGTTTCAAAGCAGACATATATTAGCTTGATAATAATAAAGATAGGACACTTAAAAAAAAAGGTCGCATTTGACAAGAAATAGTAAAGTCATAATCAAAACATATCTAACTGTGCACAGCCAAAATGCTGAACAGTTTCTGAGATAACAGACAAAGTCTAACTACAAAAGGAATGCTAGGCTGGGCACACTGGCTCACGCCTGTAATCCCGGTACTTTGGGAGGCCAAGGCAGGTGGATCACTTAAGCACAGGAGTTCGAGACCAGCAAGGACAACACAGCAAAACCCTATCTCTACAAAAAATACAAAGAATAGCTGGTGTGGTGGCAGGCACCTGTGGTCACAGCTACTTGGGAGGCTGACATGCACTCCAGCCTGGGCAATGGGGTGAGATTCAGTCTCAAAAAAAGAAAAAAAAAGCCCTGTCCAATGGCTATACTTGGGTCACCCACAACTCAGGTCTAAAGAACCAAATCAGGAGCTTTTGGCCAGCATCTGAAACCTCAAGTGGCCTGAGACATTAATCTTGGCTCTTAAGGCAAGGTGATTTCTAAGAAACATGTCAGAAATAATAAGAGATAATGAGAAAACAAATTTAAATCCAGGATACAAGCAATTCTGTTTTACTGGCCAGTTTTGTGATCATTCTAATAAAGTGTGAGTGACTTGTTTGATGTTAAGGTATTGAAAGTATTTAAAAGAACTTGGTATATTAGACTTGTAAAAAGTTTAACTGATTCAGCCTGCAACCAATATTTAAGTGTTTGGGGAAATCTAATTGGTGAGTTCATGATTCATTAGTTGTATAAATACTTTGGGAATATTTAGAGAAATGTTACATTTAAATTAATAAATTGGACACTAAACAAAGGATACATGGTAGGCAAAGCTCCTTTCTAAATATAAAACACATTGCTGGGCACAAGGGCTCACACCTATAATTCCAGCATTTTGAGAGACCAAGATGGAAGGACTGCTTGAGGCCGGAGTTTGAGACCAGTCTGGTCAACAGAGAGACCTTGTCTTTGCAAAAATTTAAAAAGTAACCAGGCATGGGGCACATGCCTATAGTCCTAACTACTCGGGAGGCTGAGGCAGAGGACCACTTAAACCCAGGAGTTCGAAGCACTGAGCTCTAATGACACCACTGTACTCTAGCCTGGGCAACAGGGCAAGACCCTGTCTCTTTATATTTAAAAAAAAAAAAAAAAAAAAACGCATTGGAGGTTTTAGGTATTAACAATAACATAATGAGTGTTGACATTTGTTTGTTTAGAGGCAGGATCTAGACGGGACAGAATCTATTCATTTATTCTTGTCCTTCCCCCAAACCCCAGAAATCCCATCTGGACAGGTCTGGGACAAAATGGTTCTTTTTCCAAATATGCATCCCACAAAGTAGGGGGGCTTAATTTAAAAAAAAAAAAAAAAAAAAAAGGAGAGATATGCCAGGCTTACACATTTGCCTATAGGGATTAGGGCTCTTACCTCATATTCAAAGTCACCACCCAGTGCCCCAATGTCCAGGTGTAGGTTCTTAAGAGGCTCACTTGAGCTGTGGACACTCTAGAAACGAAAATGATGACATGGGGTAAGTCTGAGGGAACTCGTCAACCCAGGGTGAGAGGTTTGCAGAGGGAAAAGTAGGGCACTGCTAAGCTGGCAGGCAGGCCCAGGCAGGGCTTCAGAGGACTCAGAGCAGGACCACCACTGAGGCTGCCTCACTAAATGGCTTTCCAACCAGTACAAACTATGCTGTGCACCAAGCAAGTAGCCAAGGTGCTCTCTGCTGGCTATACTTTCTGGATCAGATCTAGAAGGATAATAGACCGCTTGAGAAATGAAGCTGTAGGCCAAAAAAAACCATTCTTGCTTTTTTAAAAAGTAGCACAGAGACCGCCGAAGGTGGAAACAACTCATATATTCATCAACAGATGAGTAGATAAACAAAATGTAGCATATCCATACCATGGAATATTATTCAGCCTTAAAAAGGACCAAAGTTCTAATACATGCTTATATTAGATACATAGATGACCCCTGAAACATTATGCTAAGTGAAATAAGCCAGACACAAAAAGACAAATATTGTATAATTCCACTTATAGGAGGTACCTAGAATAGGTAAATTCATAGACACAGAAAGCAGATTAGGTTTCCAGGGGCTGGAGGGAAAGGGAATAGGAAGTTATTGCTCAATAGGTACAGAGCTGTTATTTGAGATGATGAACAAGTTCTAGAAATGAATAGTGGTAGGAGGGGAAATGCAAAAAAAAAAAAAAAAAAAGAAATGGATAGCGGTGATGGGTGCACAACATTGTGAAGGTAATTAATACCACTGAATTTTACCTTTAACAAGGTTAAAAGGGTAAATTTTATGTTACATATTTTTTTAATCACAGTAAAAAAAATTTCAAAAGGAGAAAATATAGCACAGAGGGTTTCCAGGCCAGGGAGAGGACTTCATCATTACCTGGTTATCACTTTCCTCCTCATCCTCCTCATTGGTTTCTTCTCCTAAAGCCAAGAGGGTGAGAGCATTCTTGTCTTCACGTATGGAGCCCAAGAGACCCTTTGTAGAAGCAGAGGTCTTGAGACCCTGTGAAGGCTTCAAAATAGAAAGGGACAGTCACAGGACTCATTTGGAAGACCTTTGGAATGACTTTTAGAATGCTCCTCCCCACTCTCTATGTCAGTGTCTCCTAGATCAAGTCCCACCACATCCATGAAGCTGACCTGGCAACTCCAGCTCACACCAATGACTCCCTTGGGCCACTCCTATTGCATTGGCTGCATAGACTGGGAAATCAGCACTGATGTCCCTACAGCATGGGTCTATCCTCCACAGCCCAGAGTCTGCATTCATACCGGTGTGAATTACATTTTCCCAACTAGAATATGAACCCTGAGGACTCGACCAATTCCCTCTATTTCTCACCCCAGGCCATGGTTCCTAGTATGACACATGGGGGAACTCACAGGAACTAAATACACTGAACACAAGAGAAAGTACTTACCAGCACAAGTTCTCCAAGCTGACGTCCAGACTCCACTGAGCTCCCCAGGCTCACGCTTTGAGATCCACGAAGAGCAGAGGGTGGGGTATCCACAAGGCCTCGCAAAGGAGCCAGTCCCCCAAGAGGAACATGAACTGGGGCTAACGAGGAACCCAGGGCCTGGGCAACAGAAAACATCTTATTACAACCCAAGAAACCATGTGGCTCTCAGTGTGTTAGAGACAGATATAAAAATAAAACATCTAAATCCTACACACTCGAATTTAAACCACCTCCGCTCAGAGGCTGCTAATGAAACACAACATCCAGAAATTACCATTGTGCCAACTATGTGAGAAATCACAGCCTGGTTTCCGGATTCTCATAACTCTCATGCTGTCTCACAGCAAACAGTTATTTTACATCTGGCAGATGCAGCATGGGGTTCTGCTCTCCTTTCAGAAGCCAAATAGGAGGCTGGGCGTGGTGGCTCACACCTGTAATCCCAGCACTTTGGGAGGCCAAGGCAAGCAGATCACGAGGTCAGGAATTCAAGACCATCCTGGCCAACACAGTGAAATCCCATTTCTACCAAAAAATACAAAAATTAGGTCTGGGCACGGTGGCTTACGCCTGTAATCCCAGCACTTTGGGAGGCCAAGGTGGGCAGATCACGAGGCCAGGAGATCAAAACCATCCTGCCTAACACGGTGCTACCCTTTTTCTACTAAAAAATACAAAAAATTAGCCGAGCATGGTAGCACACGCCTGTAGTTCCAGCTACTCAGGACACTGAGGCAAAAGAATCGCTTGAACTCAAGAGGCAGAGACTGTAGTAAGCCAAGATTGCACCACTGCACTTCAGCCTAGGTGACAGAGCAAGACTCTGTCTCAAAAAAAAAAAAAACCAAAAACCAAAAATTAGTCATGTATGGTGTAAGGGGTCTGTAATCCCAGCTACTTGGGAGGCTAAGGCAGGAGAATTGCTTG